TTCTCACCCACCCAGCACTTGCATTTCAAGACTTCAAGATATGCCACTGGAATTAGGAAATTGTTTATGATTGGTGGAGACAACACCACATATACATTTAAAACTATATTACTAGTATCACCTATTTTAACATAATTAATGTCTTATAAAAACATCTATGAAACTTTTATGTTAACCGATAAAATTATGGATCTATTCAAATGAACATAATAGAGAATGAACGGTACCTTGGCCTGTTGTGAGGCAACTGCAGAAGTCTGCAAAAAGTTCGCCCGGATGCCTGACGACAGAGCATACTGGAGCTGAAATAAAACATACTCATTTTAAACAGAATAGATAACAATATTTATTACAATATATTATTGATATGATATGTGCAATTTGTTTTGTTAACGTTATTTTTTTTATATTTTGACAAGCATTTATGACATACTTTGTTCTGTATATCCTTGCCTGTAATTTTGCCGGTGGGAATATTAAAAAATTTATTAAATGAATTAGAGAGCAATTAACAAATGAACAAGGAATGCATTATCTTTCTTTTTTAAAAGCAGCAACGAAGGCTATCACTGAGAAAACACATCATCACCATCACCTGTTTTCTGCCTACTAGCAGGTTCACGGCAGTTAATTTCTCCAATTTTGCAATAACTCGGGATCTCAATGAAAACAAGTCTTTCGGCTATATTGAGTTATCCTTGGAACTTCGCTATCATTGTGTATACTTTGGAATTTACTTGCTTGTTAATGTTATTATTTTTTTAATGTGATTTCAGACTTTCCTAATAAATAAATTCATTCCTTCAATTCTTCTAGCAACATTAAATCATGAATTGCTTACTGTAGCTTTCAATATTCAAAGCCATATTTATTAGAATTAATAATTAGATAAATTGTAAATATTAACTAAATATTTTACTTTAAAAATTACTGTATATGTATTGTATTATCTAAAAAAGCTAAAATGTATATCTTAAAATTTATTATTTAACTCTTTTTCTTTATATATATTATCTACTTCTTATGTATCTTTCTATATATTATGTTGCTTTGATCTTGTTTTTTGCTAATGTTTGTTCTTTTTTGCATTGGAGATCCTGCAATAGTTTTCAACACTTTTGTTTATCTTTGTGGGCTTTTTGTTGTATATTTCTTTATCCTGAAAATCCAAAAAATTGTTTCCTTTGTTGATTATAGAGAATCTTAATCTTACCAACACGATTTGCATCCATAAAAAATAAGCACTTAGGTCAAGAACTGACCTCAGTAAGGATCATAAAACTTTATTGAAAACAAATTTGTTATACAACCTCTTTACAATGTCAACACTACTTTGAATTTGTCAACAATGCAGACTGCACATAGTGCCTATTCATAAATATTGCAATATAAAACTTACAAATCATATCAATAAATATTATTATTAATAACATATGTTTATGTTTATCAGAAATATAGTCATGTTAATACTGTTAGCTGTACATCCTAACCTAGGCCTACTACTACTCTACCACAGACGTACTAGGCAAACTACACTAGTATAGGCCTGACTGGCCTTTTCTATGTTGCTAGATAGGAGCCTATCTATAGGCCTAGGTACATCATCACTTAGGAATATATATTATATCAATTAGGCCTATACCTCCTTGGACCTGCTAAAAATTAAGATAACCTATCATCACCAGGCCTAAGTAAGTAGTAAACTAGGCTTTAGGATGACATTGCATTGTAAATAATTAATGTTAAATCGACACCTCCTTGCACTCCTAGTCCAACCTAGCCCAGTAGGATAGGAGGGTGTAGGCCAAGCTGTTTAGGCCTAAATTTCCAAAGTACCAATTTTAAGAACCGGGATGACGGGGGGAAATGATTTACCGGCGTTTCAAGGATGGCAAGTTTATGAATTGCAAAATAAAGCAGGCCTAGGTATGGTGTTTGTATTTTTAGTGACTCTTACAAATACGTATGCTTCTTCAAGCAAATAAGTCGGAAGGTTGACATGTTATACAATGCACCAACTCGAAAAATTTACCTGTTTTCCGGAAAATCGTGACAGATACGACATTTTTACCAGCGTGCACGGGATTCACTGATCACCGGTGAAACGCAACAATTCAATAGATGACGTCAGAATATTAAAGAGAGAGATCACTCGTTCGATAGATGGCGGCAGACTTAAGTGCGTCTGCTGCCCTCTATAGTTTACTCATATCGTCAATAGTAACGATCAATAGCAACAATGTCAGATCGAAGTAACAGGTATTATTTATAAAATTATAATTTTATAGTTAGTTATTTGATTCAATTTTTACGTTTGAATTATTTTAAACACCTCTGTTTTAATTTTAATCATGCTATGAAGCCGTATAAAGCGAAAAAGAAGACCTAGGCCTAGCCTACCTTGTCTTGCCCACCCCCTCCCCCAGCCATACTCTTCCAGTCCATACGTAGCTAGGCCTAGCCTCTAGGCCTAGGCTAGGCCTTGTTGTGCCTAGCTAGGCCTAGCCTAGCTAGACATTTCCATTGGGCCTAGTAGGTAGGCCCTCCATCTAGATAGGCCTTTTTGTATGTAGTTGGATCGGACTAACTAGGCCCTAGAGCCTTTCTTTGGTAAAATATTATGAAATGGATATCGTTCCGACATGCCGGAGAGTGCATTAAGATAGCGTTCACCATTGTAACGAGACTTGCTTAAATTTGTATTAAAGAAGCCCCATCCTCTCAGTGTCATACTGTAGTGAATAGAGCCAGTGTGTGCCTGACGTTTTAGAAAATTTGGGTGTACGTTCGCACAAGTTGCAGTTCGTACATACATTCATTGTAGTCGTTAGCAGTTCATAGGGATTCGCAGAGGAGGTATGCTGGGGTCAATTTTTAATTTTGGACATGTTCAAAATTGTGAGCATGTGACAACCTACCGAATACGGACAGCTTAGTGCTCACGTCAGGCAAGTCTTGGCATCTACATCTTCTGTAATAAGCTAGGCCTAATCCAAGAAAAAGTATGAATTTTATGAATTATATTTTTTTTTCTAGCCCACCACTAGAAGACCCTATAGAGGAAAGTGTTGAATCTGCAGTTGAAAAAGGTATTATACACATTTAAAGTTGTTCATACACTTTTTTGGTTTCTGTCCACATATTTCTTGCAAGAGAAATGGGTGTACTGTAGAGTTTTATAAGGGTTTTGCTCTTACATACACATACTAACACCTAACCTACTTAACTACCCTATTATAACACACCTAACAGCACTACACCTTATGCCTGAGACTTACCATACTCTTCACTTCTCGTCGTGGTGTTCTGATAAGTCCAAGCAATCTAGCTGTTAACTGTGTACGTATGTATTCAACAACCTCTGTAGACCAATTCACTGTCTGTCTTGGTGCCAGCCTGTGTCTGAGGTGGATTTGTGACGGCACCTAAATCTGGGGGGACACCTGATTGGACATCCTGGGTATTGTTATTACCAGGTGATTACACACCGGCTGGCACTACAATACAGTAGGCCTACAATGATATTTTTTAAAATTCTACTAGAAAATATGGTGCAAGTTGAGCCAATTACGATCTCATATTTTGAATCGTTTTTTTTTAATCATATATATATATATTTTCCTTTTCTTTAAACTAGATGAAGCAGCTTCACTGCGCCAAGCTGTTTCCGGTATGAAAGCGCAAGCTTTGAGCGAGGTACCGTTCAAAAATGAGATTATTGTTATATTATTATTACAGTATTACAGTTTTCAAAACAACCTATTTGACTAATTTGAAATTTTTAGATATTCTCAATACTTTACAGATCTTTGAGAACCATCCATGTGATATACCGCAAATATTCCCTAATCATAATTGATCATCATCATCATTGTTAACAATATCCTGTGCCCATCATCATTATTATTGTTATCAATATTTGAAAAACTATAGTTATAAACGTATTATGATATATTATACAGGCTTTAAGTTACCTGACATGTTTTTCTCTCTTTCATTTTTATGATTAGTTTCGTGCCAAAGATACATCAGTAGTCCCTGAAATGGATGACAAACAGCCAGGTGTCGAACCATCTGCTGCTGAAGAACGACCCGGCTCAGGAAGACATAGGCCTAGCTCGGCATCACGTAGATCTGTACAGGACAGGCCTGCATCAGGATCGCCTAAGCCTGTATCAGGTTCACCTAAGCCTGATTCAGAACGACAAAGATCAGCAGGGAGTAGACGGTCGAGACAGTCCAGTGGAAGAGAATCAGCTGACAGACCACCATCCGGAGCCCAATCGCAAGAGGCTGAAAGACGGTTATTTGCTGGTCGGCCAAGACAGTCCAATGGAAGAGAATCGGCTGACAGACCACCATCTGGAGCCCAATCGCGAGAGGCTGAAAGACGGTCATCTGGTGGTCTGCCAGGGCGTGGCCTGTCAAGGGGTATGGTTTTATTCGTAATCTCAAACATTGTGATAAGGTAGTAGAGGTTGTGGGATATTGTAGCTTGTAGACAAAGTCATCAACATGATTTAAAATAATTATGATGATACAATATTAGTTGTAACCTGGCTTGTTTATTGCACTTAATATACCCAACCAACCCAAACCACATGGCATTGTTGAGAAATTTTGGATTCGAACCCATGGCCCTCAGGGTTTTGTGAATCAAACCTACATGTTATTAACCCTTCTATGATTCTTGCTCTCCATAGGATCCAGAGAGAGTCGAACACCCACCTATGGCGCTACAGAAATACCAGATGATGAGGGAGATGGTGACCTCAGTGATGATGATGTGCTCGGTGGAGATCAGGATGCCGACGTTGACTCTGACGCCAGTGATGACGCCAATGAAGTTGTGGTCTTGGATCCCGACCATGTACGTTTTCCCAATTTGTTTGTAATGCTTGACATTAAGATTGCATGTTGGGGTAGGGGAGGTTGCATGTTTTGCATTGTCCTTTTTCCATACGCTGCAGCCTCCAACCTGCTGAAGCTTGTGCAATTTGCATGATCGTCTATTAATATGTGTTTGTTTTCAAATTATTTCTTCCAAACAGTCACTCGCTGTAACAGAATAATGCTCTATGAGTTCCATTATGGGGGGGGGGGGAAGGGGTTTGATAGAATTTAAGTGTGGGAGTCTCATGGACGACTAGAAGGCAACCAGGAGTGAATCCGTGCGAAGTACCAATCAGGTTATGTTTATAAATGCTTGAGCATTGACATGGATTTTAAATCAAAAATTCAAATTGTTTTGGAGGACCATGCTCCCCTCTTTCTCCTTCCTTTTGTTTTCTTCTCTTTTTTTTTTCTCTTGTTTTTTGAGGAGCCTAGCCACTCCCACCCCAAATACAGTATTTGACCCTGGCAACCATCTTATCATCAAGCTAGTCAGCTCTTCTCCATAATAAGTTTACTGTTGTTTTTGTATTAATTACTAACTAGTTTGTATTGAACATTGTGATTGCAATGAAATATCGCTTTGTCAGAAAGCATTAATATTATAATAACATCTTTTGATTTTGCACAGCCCTTGATGAAACGTTTCCAAGATGCACTCAGCTCCCACCTTCAGAAGCAGCATAAGAAGGTAAAGCTTGAATTAAGCGAGCTTAATCAAGCTGTAAAGAACAAGAGCAAAGAACGCGAGGAGCTCGGTGTACATCTGTACGGCCTCCAACAAGAGCTGGCTCGTCAGCAGATGAGTCTAGAGAAGAAGCATGATGAGTTGGCTAGCTTGCAGCAGTTCCGCGGCCAGTGCGAGGAGCAGCTCAGCGAGGTTAGAAAGATGTACAAGAAAACACAGGACAACATGAATCAACAGAGGAAGGAAGGTTAGTGTCACTGTAATCTCAGGCTGTATTTACAGTATTGTCAGTCTCTGGATAATTCTATAGCTCAGACACAAACAGAGACCCTTAGGGGAGAAGCAAATTACCATACAGTACAAACTGGTTCACACCTCGAGCGCTTTGTGAATTCAAATTCGGGCTATATAAATTCAACTACATTACATTATATTATTTTTATCATTATTGTACATGAAACGCCTGAAAATCGATTATGGTATTAATTTACATTTATTTGTATTTTAATGAATTAATCAATCAACCATTTCCTAATGTCATACAGCTGCCGCTCTTCAGACTGAGGTTGAAAACCTAGGGCTGCATATGTTCTATATGATGAATGCCAAAGAAGATGTACGCGGAGATATTGCAGTTATGCGCAGAGCTGCAGAGAAGGCAGATGTTGAAGTGACAAAAGCAGAAGAAAGCAAGCAAAAACAGGTAAATTTAATTTTGAGATCAAGTAATTTGTACAATTATGTTACACTAATATTTCAATAAACATTATCTAAATCAAAATACTAAGTTTATTTGTTATCTTCTTTCCGACATAGTTAGTAACTATGTGTATTAATGAATTTTTTCATAAGCATTTTTTAAGTTGAGGTATGTTAACTGTTTCATTTTTTTATTCTGCACTTTAGGATTTGTATGTAAATAGACTGACAGAAAATGTGGATAAACTACGTGAAGAAATAGCATTACACGAGGCTCAGTGCTCTGCGCAGGCCGAGGAGACAAAGGCTGCCAAAGAGGCTCTCAGCGAAGCACGCATGGAGATTGAGGTACACAACTGACAGTGATTCAATATTTGCTAAAGAACTCCAAGAAGTGAACGTTGTATCTATAGACTGATTAATAAAATGAATTTGATGTATTTGAGTGAATGGAGTGTTTATTATGTTTTTTGTTTTTTTCAGTCCATCAACTTAGAACGTAAGCAGCTGTACCAGCAGTGGAACAGCAGTTTGATTGGTATGAGGAGACGAGACGAGGCATACGCAGCCATGAATGAGGCCCTCGAGTAAGTATATCAGAATTTGCAGTCACAACTCAACAACTGGCATATAGTGTTAAATACGTAGTTTATGTTGCTCTCTCTAGCAGAAGAGCTGTCAGACGCTGGATTCTTAGCTCATGACAACTCAACTCCCCAACCAATGCCTAACAGTATCTGTCTGCACTATCTATAACTACTTGCCCGATGCAGTGCCAACCGATGATGGGTGGTAGTTTAAGCCTATTGTTGAAAACAAGCTTTCATGTATTGTTACGTCATGTCTGATAGAATTGCTTAGACTGCCAACGCTGATGCAGCGTACGTTAAGCTTAAGCCACTTAATTAATCTTTATAGAATATATAAAAATATTACTTACGAGCATATGGGTCATAAAATTGTGATATTTTCTACTCATGCTTTGACTGCTCTGTTTACCAACTTATAGTCAACAGAGGCAGCAGATAATGTCACTAAACACTGAGATTGACGGTTACAAGAAGTCGATCATAAAAGAACAGGAGCGCAACGAGACATTGCTGATCCTGCTGAATAAGAACGAGGCCGACATCAACACCGTTAAGAAGCTAATAGCTGCTAGCCAGGCCAAACAAGAACAGCTAAAACAGGAGTACAGCACGTACACGAGGATGCTGCACGAGACGGAACAGGCCTTGAGTAGGGCTACGACAGTATGTCCCCATTCAAATATTTTCACAATAAATCATTACTTTACATAGGATGGGGAAGCATGTAGTATATTGGGAATATGCTGAAGAAGCTGTCATAAATTACATGATCAATTTTAAAATAAAGGTGGGAAGGCAGTTTGGCACAGCGATTTCCATTCAGGTTCTGAACCTTGTGTCGAGGATTCAAACCGCACGCTGACCATTCTTGGCTGGCTATGCTTAGTCAACCCAGATTGGTCTGCGTTACATATTACTTATTTTCATGGCGTCCCATACTACAGTATGTTTTTCTGGGGTTTTCGCAATCCCAATTCAACAAGATAAAAAGTTTTTCCATTATAATCAGACGCTGGTGGCGCTCTTCGAAGGTCTCTAACACTAGCGAAAACCAATAAATTAGAGACTTGTGGGAAGTTTAGTTGACAGCCTGTGAAGTAGCTAATGCCATGCTTCTATGCTAATGCTATGTTTCAGCCCTAGGTGTGGGTATTCCATGGCTTATTAATAAATAAATTATATATTGTGGCTGTTTCTCATCAATATTGATGGTAACATCAGGCCTGACATACCAAGATAACAAAAAAAGTTCTAGTGCATACTAAATGAAGCACCCATCTTTGCAAAATAAATTTATTACTCGTTACTATTAAATTATGTGCTCTTTTTATCCCATAAAGGATCGGACATTACGCTTGCATGAGCTGAATGGTCTGCGGAAACAGATTGAGAAGGAATTTCAGGAGAAGGTGACGATGGAGGATAAAGTGATGGAGACAATGCGGAACAAGCTAACCATGGAAAAAGCCTCTCAGTACACTAAAAGGATGGCTTCCAAAACCAGACAACTGATAAAGGAGCAGGTATGGTACAAATGCATCTATACAATTCTTAATCCCTAAATCACTCCTGATGACCGACAGGATTCTATGGAGAATGCAACACCACAACGTGCACGCAACAAGTAGTTTTTAATGACGATCCATTCATACTACCACCGACAATCAGCAGACAGCGTCTCGTTGTCTAGCGCTCACAGGAAGCGGAGTTGGAATCCTCGGCGGACGATCGTGCAACGCAGTGAGTCCCAGGCTTTAAGGAACATCAGTCCTCTGTTAAATATTCTGCTCTTCTTAGTCTTGTCTGTCGAGAGCCTCAACCAGTGTTCAGGGCATCTACTGTACTTGTGTTCAGCTTCTCCTTGGTATCACTCGGCCTTTCTTTTCCGTCTGTTGTCAGTAACCCTTCGCAAGAGGGAAAATGCTGACTCAAATAAATGATGATGATGATGATGGTGATTGTATTATTTTGAACATAATTATTTTTATGATTATTGTAATATAAATATTTCTATGATTATTCTTAATATTATTACTGGTAATGAATGAACCAATAGTTATTATTTTTTAATTACATCTAATTTCCCAGGAAGCTAACAAAGCTCAAGTTGAGAATGAAGTAGCTAACGATACGTTGGAATACTCCCACACCATGTCACGCGTGGAACGCCTGAAGAAAACCTTAGATGACCTCGACGAAGAAATCCACGAGAAGAATAAAATAATCACACGTAGTGAGGGAGAAATTGTAAAACGTAATGCGGTAATCGAACGGAAGCAGGGAGTGATAGATCAATTCAGCAAGAAGGTTGAGGCCATACAGAGTAAGCAAGGGGTAAGTTTTTTTAATGATTTGCATACAAGTAACAATGGTTGTGATTGGTTGAAATCTTGATTCATTTAATTTATGCCAATTAAGGGCCAATGACTACCACAATAGAATAATCTTAGTTTTATTGTAGGTGCTATTGACGACAACAAAAAAATACAGCAAAGGGTGTAACGATAACAATTACTGAATATAAGCTATAATACTTAGGCCCTGGATTTGTATTTTAATTATTTTAATTTTTATTATGATGCTCCTTGTATATAACTATTGTAAATTGTTTTAATCATGAAGGTTTATTCTACTGTTTTCAAATATTTTTGGAATGATTTTGTATATATGCTCCCTGCTATTGTCGTTGGGGATGAAATAAAATAAAATAAAAATAGATATTACTCTCCTGATGATGACTGAACCAGCTCAATCAAAACCTTTAAACACTCAACCAGAACAACATATCTCTTCAGTTAGTTTGTATTTTTGTATAGCACCTATTCCTTTAGGTACTAAGCATTTTATTTTTCCTGGTCATTGAGTTCACATGCTTCAGTGTTGCTGCTGGTAATCAGCGCAGGAGCAGGCAACTCCACCAGGTACCAATTTATACTCCTGGGTGGAGAGAAGCAATGCAGATAAAGTGGCTTGCTGAAAGACACAACCGAAATGCACAGCGAGAGATTGAAACCCAGACCTCAAGGTTGGGAAACCCAACCGTTCCTGCTGCGCCAAACCGTTTCTGCGGAATTATCTATGTGGTGTACCACAATTACTTATCACTAAATTTTATTCTTTTTAACAGGGAGAAGAGCTTGGACCGCTTGAACAGGAGGTGGCAGCCTTGCAGAAGTCCATTGACACCAGAACGCAAGAGATCGCTGAGCTTCAACAATTCTGGCTGCGTCAACAGAGCGAACTGGTGAAGATGAGTAAAGAGAAGGATGGGCAACAGAGTGAAGTGGACACCATGAAGAAAGCTCTTACTATACTCCATCAAAAGAAAATGAGAATTGAGAGTAAGTACTACCATATTTTGTAATTATAGATATTTAAATAATGGTAATAATCATACAACATATTCAAATTTATGGACATTCACAAGTGTACAAAGAGTACTCTCTCATCACCTCTGTCATTTTACAAATTCATTTTCTATGGCTGTTTTTTTTTTTAAAAGAGAGCCAAAGAAATATAGTGACATGAAAACTACTAATTCCATTTTTTCTCTCAAAACTACAATAAAAAAACATTCAAAGCGAAAGGAAAAGCACAAAACAAGGCGAAAAGAGACCTCAGTGAAGAAAACAGGATTTCAAAAATCTTAACCCGATTGCCGCCTCTATAACCACCCGTTTGTCTGTAGCAGGGCAAGTGTTTCCCGTTCCTTTGTTCGAGTGGTTCTGGAACGCAATAGAGTGGTGATGGATGATCCCTGGGATATTTTGCACTTGTTTTTGCCCTTTTTTCCTCACTAATTGAGTTGATAAAAATATATACAGTATATATGAAATAATAAAAGAAAATGCAGAAAAGGCTGCTGCTCTTTGCAGGTAGCAATGGCGCATAAAGGAATATTGTATCGTATCGAACAGTTCTTTGAGATGGATACGTGCACCTTACAAATGTCATTATTATTATTAATATTATTGTTAACTAAATGACCAAAGTTGGTGTCCAAAAATACTGTGTTAAAAATAAACATAAAAAATTAAACATACACACTTCTTCGTTTGCTTAGATGAGATAACGATGCACCAGACGGAGCACAATGATGTGTCAGTGAGCATGAGGAACCTGCAGAATGACATGATCAAGCTGAACATACTGCTCACAAAGGAGGGCAAGATCCAACAGAACCTGCAACAGGACAACATACTGATTGAGAATGACTTCGTACTCTCGCTCAAGGTAAGTGAATTGTAAAATCAGAACGTATATAAAGTAATCCTTTGTGGAAATCTACAAGGGAATTTGGATAAGGTCTCGTGGATTGACCTGCGGGAGTGACAGTACAGTGCTCACCATGGTTAGTACACTGGGAGACGATCCCCTTCGTTTTCAAATTCATGTGCTATTATGTACCTTGCGATCAATGGCTTAACTCCCCGTACAGCAGTGTTTTACAAGCAAGCAAGGCATTATCAGGTTGAAACTCGATCTCTCACACCTTAAGTCCAATCCCTTTTACTGCTGCTCTAACTCGCCATTTAAGTTATCAATAAGGTTATGTATTCATCATACAGTACCTCAATAAGTGGACCTTCACCAAAAAATCTTGGTAGACAGTAAGCTAGACAGCTGGTCAAAAGGGAACTCTAAGCTACCAGCCTTATGTAGAAAATACCTCAGCTAAACGCACTAATTCTGGTAGCGGGGGTCAGTTAGCAATGAATTTAACATGCGTTTTATATTTCTTAGCTGGCTAGGCCAAAGTCACACTGTGAGCAATATATTTTGATTGTATAACTATTTTCTTTTCATTTCTTGAACGTGTTGATTGTAGGAAGCTGAAAAGGAGTCGATTGAAATGCAGAACAAGCTGGAGGAGCAGTCGGAAGAGAAAGAACGTCTTTTAAACAGTCTTGTAGAGGCAGAGTAAGTGTATCCTGGATTTCAGTAAAAAATTAAACACAAAAGTTCATGAAAACATTTAAAATAGTTTGCTGAAATGTCAAATTCTTTCTTCTGGACCTGAATGTACATTTTACGTTATTATATAGTGCTCTGATTACATAAGTCTCAGAGCGCTTTTCTACATTATTACGCCAGTCATTAGAATGATACCTATGGGAGAAATTGTATAGTTTGCCGCATGAAATATATCAGCGCATTTTGAACTTGAACCTCCTCAGGTACCCATTTAATACTCTTGGGTGGAGAGGATCAACGCAGATAAAGTGCCTTGATCACGGACATAAGCAAAAAGCACAGTGAAGGATTGAAACCCCGACTTCAAGGTTGGGAAACCAAACCTTTCCTGCTATGCCAAACTGCTTCTGCGCATACAATATAAATTTAAAACATAATGGTGATATGCTCTGTACATTTTGATAATCAAATGAAAACAGATTATAAACAAAGTAATTCTCTTGGCAGACGTCAGATTATGCTTTGGGAAAAGAAGACCCAACTAGCCCGTGAGGCTAAAGCTACCGTCGATTCCGACGTCGGACAAGGCGAGATCCACGCAATGACGTCCGAGATCCACCGTATGGAAGTCCGCTACACACAGCTGATGAAGCTCCAGGAGAAGCTTATCCAGGATATGGAGAAGTCCGTGTCACGTAGGGATACGATTGTGACTCGTGGAGACGCGCAGAGTAAGCTGAACAAGAAGGTTGAGACAAAGGGGACCTTCAAAAAGAAACTGGTGGAGATGAGCAAGAAGATAAAGCAGGTGCAACAGGTATGATTTACAAAGATTCATCTTGAGGAGATGAGATGATAAGATTACGAGATGATGATTATATAAGAATATATGAGGCGATGATATGAGGAGGTAGAAATGCACTAAAGTTGTACAATAGACCGTTCACTATAACTAATTTTTGCCTGTCGACATCAGAATGTTGCGTACTGTTTCATGAAATGCTTTCCATGACAAAAACAAGACAATTTTAATAGTTAATATTTATAGAACATTTACATTTATGATGGTAATTTTATATAACATTTATGAAAGTAAATTTTAAAAGGTGCTCATTTCAGTCCTTTGTAATGACTGTGTTTAATGCTATTTGCTTGCAGGACAGTAGTTCATGTGATGCTGAGATCCAACAGCTGCGATCACACCAGCAGATGCTCAGTGAACAGCTACAGGAGAAGCAGACATCCTTCCAACATCTGCAGAGTATGGCCGACACGCTTGACGGAGATATAGACCGACTGATGGAGATCAAACAGAAGGTGAGAGAATTGTGTAGACACAACATATTTCATCCTGTCCATTATAATGAGTAATTATGTTTTAAGGGTACTATTGGAAAAGCAACCCAAAGAACCATTTAAGTTGAAAAAAAAATTACCTGAAGACCCTTCAGGTCTGAAGATATTTTGAAAGCACTTATGGCTTCTCAGGGCACTGTGTCTCTAATTAGTGTCCATTGTAAATCGATCACCTTATAGACTCTACATTCAATGCATGTGAGCATTTAAAACATCTCCAGGTCTGCTAGTAACAGCTCATGAATCTATTGCCCTTTTCACATGGTAAACACTTAAGGCTGGTTAAAAATAGCATCGTTCTACTGTTATTATAGATAATTATTTAACAATACGGGGCTTGCCATTAAAAAATCAGCATCAATGACCAAAAAAAATGAAAATTGACTTATTAATATATTCTTGTTCTCTACATTGTAAGATTAAAAATGATGGATCATTTACTGGAATCGACTTACTATTGGCGAAGTTATGAGTAAAAGTATTATCGCTTCTCTGTACTTAACTATACAATACTGCTACATTCTTATGCTATTATTACTCAGTTTAACAATTAGTAACAGTACACTGGTTTTGGAATTGCAAACCTCATATTTCATGAGGGTAGCCCTAACAGCATTGCTTACTTAATAGGGCCACCTACATGCAATTATGAAATAAATATTTAAATTAGTAACTGTAATAATAATTGTAATGTTATGTTATTATTGATAGAATATGACGGACATTCTTGCCAGGCAGCAGAAATCAAAATACTACCAAGCAAACAAAGACGGAAAATACACACTGCTATGCAAGACCGAGTCGGCGTTGGAGACCGAAACACAGAAGCAAACCGATCGCGTTCACACTCTGTCTACCATCATAGATCGCTTGAACCAAGAGTTCCCGCATGCACAGCCTTCACTACGTAAAATCACGCTCTCACTCAGCTCTCGAGTAGGCGGAGAGGAAGATTAGAGCTTAACCTTTGCAAATAAATGTCCAATCTTTCAGTGGAAATATAATTGGCGGTGTAAAATTAGTTACAATAAACATCAACATCAGATCAGATAAGATATACGTCAGATTATCTATGGTTATCTTAAATTGATAATTAAAATGAAGTTATAAATAATAGTCAAAATGCTGTAGATTCCCTATTCGTAATTCCTTTCGTGTCTATAAAGATCTATATCAATCAGTTATACAGTACATAGGATAACATGTCTAACACTGGGGAGATGCCTGTTGCTGCACCACTGCCGAAAATTTACGAACAGCCTGTGGAATAAAAAAGTAATTATATTTTAAAACACAATATATGTAGGTAATTAATATGATTTAAGATAAAATATTTGCATAAGTAGATTGACACAAAGAATGAGTTGGATTAAGTGTTCCGTTTACTGTACTGTATTTGCTGAGATTCGGAGAATATACAGTACAACATAAAATTGATGTTGTAATTTAATTTAATGCTTCTTGACAAAATAACAAGACAACCAAAATGTTCGTCTTTTCCTCACCTCAAACCACCTGTTACTGTATTTACTTTCAATCATTATTATTCCTTGTATTAGAAATATCTTAATATAATATAATATAATGTTAAATTTTCCTTTAATGCTGTGAATGATAATGATGTGAATGATAATGATGTCCATCTTTCAAATCTGTGATAGTATTAAATTATACATTTATCTGAATTATGTTTTATTTTTTGTTGTTGCTTGAATGGCCTGTTCAATGCTATGGAACAGATGAAAAGTTCACCTTGGTTTCCAGGTAGGTTTTAAGCCTGTTTGAATTTTGCTTTAACCCTATCCCAAATCAAGAATGGATATTAAACTGTGTAAAGGCAAACAAAAAAAATCAAAACGGAATTTAAGGAGAAAAGTTTATTTGACACCGACAGCTAAAATTAACATCATTGACAATCAGATCACATGAAAAATATTTCTCTAACACACTTCACATAGAAATAATATTCCGTAAATTAGTACTTCTCTCGCGTTCATCCGTGTTGAAAGAAAAGAGATTTACATGAATATCAGCATAACCACAATCATTTTCACATAATAAACATTTAGATTTAATTTTCGACAATTAACTTGTAACAAAGTTATCAGGCATACTAGAATAGTTTCTATAGACAAAACTAACATCTAGAGTTTCTATAGACAGGAATTACTTTTAGTTCATATAGACAGAACAATATTGAGATTCTATTGAGGGGAAAAAACATTCTATACACAAAACACATGAAGTTTCTGTAGACAGAATTAAACCTGGAATGAAAGGTTATCAACAATGGAGAATCAACTATTCATGCTCAAAGATTCAATTTTATAATTTCACCTTAAAACCACATCACCATCAATGAAATATTCATTTTACAATAAAATTAATCATTATTATACACTTTTTCATATATTTATATACACAAAATACAAATCTAGTTTATACTTCCAACATGCACAACTATAGTTGGAATTGCTTATACTTTCTCTATAGATCTCTAACTCTATTAGACATTAAATCCACGCTTACATGTATGTATGCAAACATGGTCAACACTGAATACTACTGTATATACAAGCTGACACGTAAGCAAGTGCATGGTGAATGATGCATGCAAATGTGCACATATGAAATACACATGCACACACAAAAATGCATGATTATTACTGTAAGCTCACATGCACACATAAGTGTAAAGTTAATGATATACCAATGTTTATATATACATAGTTACCAATTTAAGAGATTTGAAATGTGTGACTACACCAGTTCGCTGGTGGGGGGGGGGGGAGCAGCAGCTGCCAGGCCAATCAATTTTTAGTAACGCGTCAGTGAAAAATTAAGTATTCACGAAAATACTGTCTAATGACTCAAGTTACTGCATGGCTGTTTTTATATTTTTAATAAAACCAATTTCTTCTAATTTTAAATACATTTTCCCTTGAATTCGTAATATAAATTAGGCGAATTACGAACAGAAAAAGGAAGAGAATTCCACAGAGAAGGAGCCTGGATATAGTACATGAATCACATATGTGCATGTATGCTATCTGCATGGCTAATATTGTATTTACACATGATACAGTAAATGTATATATATATATATTCTATAGTATATTTTTAATATCTTTCTATATTTCTATGTTATAAAACCATTACAAATATGGTTTATATTATTTAGCCCTGTCCGATCAAATTTTATTTGACAATAAGTCACGAGACAAAAAAGTCATGATGTGCCTATATATGGTCATGTTGTGATGTCATCATGACCATATTTAGGCATGTCATATGTTTTTGTCAAATAAAATTTGATAGTTGGACAGAGCTTTGCATCTCAAACAACAGACATACCACCATTACACTTAAAACTAATCAAACATATAAACCAAAATGCCCCCTTATATTTTCTAAAAGTTAGAACCGAAAATTTTCAGTACCATAATCTACAGTACAAGGTCATAAGTCATCTATATTACAGTACAATAGATGGAAAACGGATTACAGACGGGGGAAAAAACACCACCAAATAGGCAAAGCTCTTAATCAAATATCTCAGTCAGTTAACACCGGTGAATCCAATTTCAATATTCAACCTGAGTACAAATATTCAAATGTTTTTCATTAACACTTTCACTGCCAACATTTTTTTTCCAAACACATTTATGAACATTTCAACCTGTGTACTCAAACTATTAAAAAAATATCTAGTTCTATGCAAGGCTGCAGACCCAATAACATCAGCGTAAGAAAGGCCTACACATAAACTGAGCGAAGCTATCATTAAGCCAGACACTGACTACATCGACCAACGGATGATCTACCGTAAATGCTGGAATAAGCGCTGTGGCGCTTATCAAATTTTTGGAGGCATCAGTGCGGTGCTTATTCGAGAGCGGCACTTATAAAAAAATATTGGCGTGGCGCTTTCCATGCACGTTCCCATCTTACCTATTTCACATATTCCCGTAGTTCAGTAGGCCTATCATAGGTCCTATCATCGTAAACAAACATTTGTAAAGAAATGCTTGTGTCTTCATTGTGTTATTTATTCATTTAAACACTGTATACATTGTATTTAAAACCCTGTTTCATTACACACGGTAATATTATTATTCTCGATAAATCACCGCACCGCTTATTCGAGAGCGGCGTTTAACGAAAAAAAAAAATCACTTTTGGTGTGGCGCTTATTCAAGCATTTACGGTATATGTACTCTGTGTGAGCGACTGATGACAACATGGACCGTCTGCCGATCATCGGTGGCATTATGAGCGCACTATCACTACAATCGATCCGCAGCTGGCACCTACCAGCATTTTCAGTCGCATCAGCCAACAAGCGTTGATGCAGTTCTTGCCCAGCTTAAGGAATCGGTCTTGAAAACACTACCTACAGGGCTACAAAATTGGTACAATACAATACAGAAATTTAGTCTTAGATTTTCATACAAATATACTAGGTTTATACACCCAACAGAGCAGGATCACACATCAGATATCTATGTACTCTCATAGCAGACTATTTTGCGTAGACTTGCACAGTAAGCTTTGCTCTACAACAAGTATTAAAGCTCAAAACATCTCAATACACCCAATCTTGAAAAGAGAAAATCCATCATAAAAGCACCTGAAGTTTTATCGAAGTTTTTGAGGTGGTCTTTGCAACAAAAAAAATAGTCTTCACTCACAGCACAATACGTCTAAGTGCTATAGCTTGAAACACTAAATACGACGCTAAACACAAAGAGAAAAAGATACGGTAACTGCCATAATTTTGGAGAAATTTAAAAAGTGGAGTAAATCAGGAGATGTGCTAACACCATCAGTTCCTATTTTCAATGGCTAAACCTAATCTATAAAGTTCTGGTCACACTATAAAATTTTATGTGACAAATAAATGTGATATGCCCATATTTGGGTGTGATATGACACTCCTGATGATGACATAATTAATCTGGAAATATTGAATCCAAACAGATGGCGTGTATTTCAATACTTGGATTTCAATATTTAACGTATGTTTTATACTTTCTTATCTGAGATTAATCAATGGACTTCAGTTTTATATGACACCATCAAGCCCATACACACAAATTTGTCACATAAAATTTGATAGAAATTTAATGTTACCAACTCATTTATGGTATCAGTATCAAAATTGGAGTATCCCAACTAACAATAACTAACTATTATACTATAATTTATATACATGTTTGAGCAGTTTTGTCTACTGAATATCATTAATAAAAACAGTTAATATTTTAAAATATGTTGATATTTGTAGTTATATCTTTATATTAATTAGAATGCTTGAAATTATTTCACGTCATTACATGTCAATACACAGAACATTTATATATTTACTGCCGTGTTACGTTCACATTCAATGAATATTAATCATTTACATTTTTAATAATTTATGATTTCAAAATTAATGTTTTACAAAAAGTAAATTAAGAAATAAATATGAAGATTAAGTACTTTTATGAACATGTATTGCCAATGTCCAAAAAATTTAAAAAAATACCAAATTTAGTAATTGCATTTTAAAACAATTTAAAAATTAAGAGGCAGGACATATGCCCTATTTAAGATTCTTCAAGATAGAAAAAGATATGGGTAGCATTCATCAGTTCTTATTCTTATTCAATAAAAAACCTGTACACCAAAGGAGGAAATCTGGTCAGTTTGTTATCAACCTCATCTTCTTTTTTTAGAATTAGAAGTCAGCTACTTTTTTCACTTGTAGTTGTACAAGACACTTCAACCACTATGGTACTATGAAACCCAAGTAATTATCTAAATTTATTTAAGCCAGTGAAAAATACTACCTGTAAAAAAAAAGTTATTTCGTTATGAAGGTAAACAGTATATTATTTAAGTTTTACCATGCTTGATTTGTAATACCATTTTGGACGAATGTAATCCCCAGTTTGTCAATAAAATATCTATTTTTACCTTCCTTGGTCATTGATGACGGAATTAAACTAAACAAAATTATAAACCGTCTTCACTCATAAAAATACTCTACAAAAATTTATCTATTTGATAAAAATAACTTCACATGATAAACCCACATCAAAGTATGGAAATGGTTTAGCGCCCTCTATAGGTGTGAATGTATATCAAGAATCTTAACAACTACATCAATTTATATCAAAGATCTTATAAACACAAGATAGCGTTCTCCGCGATTTACGCGTAACAAATAGAAGCGTCGGTCAAGGTTCAAAAGTTTCCCATTTAGCAAGAGGGCGTCATTCATGCGCTATTACCGAAGGACCTTTTGACCTCCTGAATTCTGCAATGAGATTTTCGGGTCGATTCAGCCGAGACGGCCCGAGTGGAGTTTCATGTAAATGTTTCGTACGGAAAAATCAGATCAGAGCGGTCAAGGGTCAAAAGTTTCCAATTTAGCAAGAGGGCGCCATTCATGCCTTATTACAGAATTTGCACGCGTAAATCCCGGAGAACGCTATCTTGTGTTTATAAGATCTTTGATTTATATTAAGATCATGTATGTCATTTACAGGGTTGCTATATAAAAACATGTTTGTGGCCTTATTTTAAGTTTATAAATCAAGATGTTGAAGTATATACAAAAAATGATCATTAATTAATCAAAGTTTTAAAAAAATTGTACAAATATGATAAAAATTTAAATTAGATTGTATTGCCAGTTGGCAGCATACAGAGGGAATTTTTTTTATATCTTCTTTATTTTTGAGAAATTTAAAAACAGGAATGACAAAGAACGTACTAAGTAAATTTTAATACTGAATAAAAAAGTCTCATTTTCCATAAATACTACTATTTGTAGAGGGTGCAATGTTTGTGGCCTTATTTTAAGTTCATAAAATCAAGATGTTCTGAAGTCCAATAGTTATACTGTGGACAAAAAATTATTCAAAATTTTCATTTCTTTTTTGCAAATATGAAAAGATTTTTAGAAAATGTATTGCAAACTAGTGGTATATACAAAAAATATTTTGATTTTTTTCTTCTTTTATTTCAAAAACAGGAATGAAAAAAAAATTGTTATTCAACTTAATATATTATTTGTAAGATTTTTTTAAACCTCTTAATTTCCACATGTCTTTATCGAGTAGCTGATAATTTCTTATTTTTGGTGATGTTTAATAGTATCGCCCCCCCCCTTCTCTTTATCTCAAGGAGATGATTTGTGTTATGTAAAAAGTATTTTACATTCTACCTGTATTGAACCCTGGCCATGCAACGAAGAGAACCTTAAAGTCAATACCATTGCCCCACCACTAAAGATCTGTCCACACTATAAATTTTTTATTTGAAAATTTGCATGATTTTCTAATATGCAGGCATGATGATGTCATATCTCATTCATATATGCATATCATATCACATCCATATATGGGCATGCTGAAGCCATATCACATCCATATATGGGCATGATGATATATCACATACAAATATGGGCATGAAGTCATACCACATCCATATATGGGCATGAAGTCATATCACATCCATATATGGGCATGATGAAGTCATATCACATCCATATATGGGCATGATGAAGTAATATCACTTCAATATATGGGCATGATGTTGTCAAACTGCATCCATATATGGGCATTAAGTCATATCACATCCATATATGGGCATGAAGTCATATCACATCCATATATGGGCATGAAGTCATATCACTTCCATATATGGGAATGATGAAGTAATATCACATCAATATATGGGCATGATGTTGTCATATTGCATCCATATATGGGCATGAAGTCATATCGCATCCATACAGATATATGGGCATGATGAAGTCATATCACATCCATATATGGGCATGATGAAGTCATATCACATCCATATATGGGCATGATGAAGTAATATCACATCAATATATGGGCATAATAATGTCATATCACATTCATATGTGGCATGATGATGTCATTTCACATCCATAAATGGGGAAATCACAGAAAATTGTCAAATAAAACTTTAGTGTGGAAAAAGCTTAACTTCAATGAAACATTCCTGGCAAGGAAACTTTGCTTAGTGGGATTTAAAATTATTATTAATAGAAGAATTATTGCTGGGTAAATATGTTAGAAATAACCTACAAAATAACCTAAATGACTACACTAATAATAATAATAATAATAATTATAGACCAAATTAATGGGTGTATAGCTCAAAATATCGAATATTGAATAAAACTATTGTGCGTTTTGAAATAGGGTACACGTCATTTTCATCATATTTGACAACCTTCAATTCCAAAATCCAAACCTTGCAAGCAAAGGGATATTTCATAAAGCAACTTAGTTTGCCGGTGTCCTTCCTACGCATTCTTAACATGTTCTAACTGCAAAGCCTTAAAAACATGTTATAAGAAGTACATTATCATTCTAATATGTATGTTGGTGAGGTATTTTGCCATTTTAATCTACGCCATATAGCAAAAAAAGCTATAAAAGTTTTGAAGTAAAGATATGTTCACTATAAAAAAATTATAGATTCACAGAAAGAAAATAAAATCATGTTTTAAGTTTTTGTTTGATTACCGCATTTTGGACATTGTCAAGTCTTGCAAATTTATAACTTGTGTTAATTTTAATCAATTATTTTGACAGATGTTTAATTATACTAACAAAAACACAAAGCTCAGAAAATTAACTGATAACCGATTACCATATGAATCCATAAGCACCTTCTTTTCAAACCTGTTTTCCTTGGACTTGGAATGCCGAAAAGCGAACACAGCAAACAGAATCAAGGCTATAATTACGGTAGTAACATTAAAAGCAATCAAAACAATATTATTCACACCATATAAAACATGTAAATCTATATACTATCTTAAACTCTATCACACTGACAGGTTTTAGGTGACAAATTTGTGTAAATTGCCATATATGGGCATGATGATGTCACATCATTGGTATTTGTCACATACAATTTGATAGTGTGAATGGGGTTCTAATTCTGTCTGTATTTGATAGGAATACAGAAATGTACATACTATTTAAACTCTATCCACACTATCAAGTTTAAGGTAACACATTCGTGTGAACTGCCATATATGGGCATGATGATGTCACATCATTGGTATTTGTCACATACAATTTGATAGTGTGAACGGAGCTCTAATTCTGTCTGTGTTTGATAGGAATACAGAAATCTACATATTATCTTAAACTCTATCCACACTATTATCAAGTTTTAGGTGACAAATTTGTGTGAACTGCCATATATGGGCATGATGATGTCACAACATTGGTATTTGTCACTTACAATTTGATAGTGTGAACGGGGTTCTAATTTTGTCTGTGTTCGACAGGAATAGAGAAATCTTTGATCAAACAAGTCAAGCATCTTTCCATGTTAGAGAGTTTAGGTATATTACCTATTACATACAAGGCTCTCAACTTTTAATTAATAGACAATATGTTCTCCATCTGCCCATCCCCTTAAAATCACCCCCTTCCCTTAAGATCCAATCCTCTTTTGATTTGCCCTTCCCCCTAAATTTACCCTTTCCCTTTGGATTAACCTCACCCTTATGAATCCATCCTCTTCCCCTGCATCTATCCCTCCCACATATATAGTTATAAAATATACTCCATATAATTTCTACCATAGCACTTTTTAGGAGCTTTGTAGATTCAGGAATTATGACTCCGCCTCCATTCTGAATTCTATGTTACTGCATCATCATCATGAATATTTTGTTCGAAGAAGTTGCTGTAAATCTCGGCTGTTGATGATCTAATTACGTACCAACCAGAGAACCACACTGTAATCTTATATCTGTTAAAATATTACCAGACATTTTAGATGAATAATGGACTTATATCATTTCAAAATCTCAACAAAAATTCTTCTTACATATAAATTTATGCTGTAATTGGAAAAGGATGTGGATCATGGTGCTTTATATATAAGAGATAGTGCACACAAATTTGCGATTGCACATCTGTATAATTTTATTTACATGCAAACCTCTTAAAACTCCTCGTCGGAACTTAGCAACGTTGTTTTTTCGTTGTGGCTCCTATTACTTAGAGATCGTTGAGTCGGAAGAGGATTGTTGCCGGTGTTGGTCATGCCGTTGGAATTGTACTTTGTTCCGTATCCCAACTCGAGGTCGTCTTTCTGGCTCTGTTGCGTGTACTGTTGGTAGGCCGGGGAGAAGTTATGAATAGTGTCCTGTAGCACGTCCTTCGGATTGACCGTATCCTTAAGACTGCTCGAGATACTCTGCTGAAAGACACAACCATCATTATTATTCGAATTTTTGGACAGTGGGTGCGATGAAGTGAATTTAATGTGCGAGAGAATTAGAAGTAGAAACAATGAAATACAGGTCTCCCTCTAATTAAAGACCACCTCCAATTAAAAACCACTTTTCTGTTCTCTTTTATCTTCATTATTTTAATTAAAGACAAAAGCTGCTAAGACCATGGAAACCCCAGCCCCCAAAAGTAGTCTTTAATAGGAGGGAGACCTGTATACATAAATGACACAAGAATGATATGAAGAAGATAAATATTTTTCAACAACTGATATTCAGAAATATATATGATTTAAATCAATAACACAAAAGACGCAAGTGAAAAATACATATTTTCAATCATTCCATAAAGCTTAGAAAACATATTTTTAATAATTTCCTGTGTTTTTCAAAAATTAATTTAAAAATTAATAAATATTTATTAATTTTAAGTGCATATTGTTAAAATTAGAAAATATATTATCCTATCGTGTAAATTATTGTATTGCGTACTCATCTAATATTAAATTTTAAATGTATTCATGCTATTTGTACTAGGAAGAACAGTGTACTAGAACTACAGCATATTGCAAAGTGCATGGACTAATGACGATATACTTAAAAATTTTCCATTGTACTTTCACTGGTATTTTTTTCATATATAATATATTATTGATCGATGTATTTTTGCTGTATGTTTGCCATTTTGCTTTATGTTTGCCATTTTGCTTTGTCAAATTTAGCAGACTCTCAAATGTACAGGGTATTGACTTATATGTTTACTGGGTGAAGAGATCTATTGAGTGTCTTGCCAAGGGGCACAAGTAATTTTACGTCATGTTATAAGAGCCCACGAGTTAAACCTTAAAAGCCAAGAGATCTCATATACTGCAGCAAGATGCCTTTCATGATGTCATTCGTACTAATAATTCTACACAAGTTCTATGAAGCTTTTTAACAAAATATATCATACGAAACACATTATCATTCTGTTTTATTACCGGCGGCGATTTCGGTTACTGAATATTTTTCTGGAAGACACTTGAAACTTATATTATTTCACTGTTATTTGGTATTTTTTGTCATGTTATTGATTTAATGATTAAAGCATTTTTATATTTATCCTTGGCATTTTAACTGCGAAGAAGTATATAATTTTCATAATCTATTTTGTGACGGGCACTGAAAGGTTGTGGAATATTTTCTGCACTCTATATCAAATTATTATTATCATTATTGATAATAGTATTATATTATTATTATATTAAAGTGTACAAAACATGCAAACTGATAAAAGAAATATGCACATTAATATGAGAAAAAATAGCTTAATTATACATAAACAGTTTAATAATTGTTGTTATTATAATTAAATAAAAATTAGCACAAAATTCATGCAAATAGATAAATGGATAGACATGCATTTCATGTAATAAGAGAAAAGAAACAGTTTAATATTATTTGGTCAAACTCAGTATTTATCACAATGCACATGATTCAGACTACGATATACAAAAAAAAAATGGCAGAGTACAGATAAAGGGGTTATGAATAAAAATTCTCATTTTATTTTAAACTAAGAAAATGCATAATCCTTAGCTTCTATTAGATCAGTCCACTTCCTAGGAAATGTAAAAAGCATTATTAATATATTCAATTCTTCATGTTTTGTATTGTTAAAACTATATATTTTATTAGGCAGTGGCTATTGTTAGACCAGTCTTAAAATTCCTAATTCTGGTTGCATGTTATTATGTATTTATTGGACAATACTGTAACATCCACTCAGAATTATGAATTTGCTTTAGAATGGTGTAACAATAGCCAGGGCATTTTTATTAACATACCCATACTAAATCATACTAATTATAAAAATTATCCCAATGATTCAATTGGAATTTATTTATAATTGGTAGAATTTGCTGTGATTTTCTATGGTATTAAAATATATAAGGGGCAAGAAGAATAAGAATTTAATTAATTTTCAATTTAGGGCAACCTTATCAAAGACACAAATTACAAAAACTAAATGTACTGCAAGAAAATTATTAATTTCTAGATGTTATAAATCCTTGACCTTTGACATGCTAGCGAGATCGCTTACCTTCATGGCACTGCCTCTGTTAATAGATTCTGGACTACTCTGCTGATAGACTGAGTACGGGAATGCGTAGCGAAGTCCAATCGCTGCAAAGAACATCTCAATGCATATGAGAAAATTTTGATAGCCGGCTGACACAAGACCGGATAAAATATAGGAACCGTCAGACTTCTGCACCGATTTGATAACGCCCCCTAATTCAAGTATGGCCAACAGCAGACCTGTGTACAAAGTAAAAACATTTTTGAAAGAAAAAATATACTGAAAAAATATAGATAACTCTATATACATTGTACTGTTTACATTATTAATAACAGTACTGTAATTATGAACAATATTTACATACTTTACAGTTTTTATATACTGCAGTCCTACCCTGATGCACCAGTATTTATAAACTGTTCTTGGAATGCATTTCTTTGGTGTGGATTGGGCAGTACAGGGGGGAAGAGCTCCCATCTCCTTATCTAGCTTAGCTCAGTTGGTTAAACTGGTTGTAGCCACTGTGTGTGCGCTGAACCGTGGAGATCTTTGGGTCACTGGTTAAATTCCCATCGCTGATCTCCTTGTGTTTCAGCTGGAGAGTGGAAATGCAAATTTCAAAAGTGCACCGTCTTTCGGATGAGACGTTTTAAGCCGTTGGTCAGGTGTGCATTTATGGCCCACGTGCACGTTAAAGAACGCAGTACACTCTTCGGAAAAGAGTAGGGGATTGTCCCGTGGTGTACTGCCCAATCACCACCAGAAGGACCCCACTGAAAATAAGTCTTGGGAATTTTGTGGATTATCATTGGTTATGTCTCACACCAAAGAAATCCAATCTAATCCTATCTAATCCAATGTGTACTGTGTTCTTTAACATGAATATGGGCCACCATCTTACAATGTTCACAAGAACTTTTGACATTTGCAGATAAACTGTAAATGTCAAATGTTCATATTTGAAACTGGTTTGATTTTACATTGTTGCTTTAAGATACTTTTCTTTGTTCTACGATATATAATAGGCCTAATTGTTAAGCCGTTTGTTTTTGTTTGATTCTAATTTTGTTTTCATTGATACTTTTGTTAAGCTTTGTCTAAATTATGTTTTCTTTAACACAATTTGTTTATTTTATTTTCACTTATTTGTTTAATTTTTGTGTTGCCACTGTGAAAGTGAAATGTCGAATAAATTATTATTATTACTATCATAATGGCAGGCCCTGGAAAGGACTCGCTCTGATCTAGTCTAGGCATGATGAAAATGTAGATACACAAGTAAATATTACCTCGATCTTGTACGTGGTGGTGGTGGTAGAATTAGCACTAACCAGGGACGCGACAAGGATGCTTCTACCATGAACCCATTGACCATAAGACACTCTGCAAGAATGGTTTAAATGTCTTTCCCGGAAAGGGGGTGTCCTATTAGGGTCACATATCAAATATAAAGAGTATTTTTACCTTGCCAGAAAGAAACGAAGATTACCGACTTGACCATGGCAAACTTCAACACCGGGCTGTAAGGGCTGAGAAGGTCTTTGGTGGCATGGTAAAACAGAAACAAGGCGTACAGCGACAGGCTTACCGAAGTGTTGTAGGTTATTGTAATGTATAAATAACCCTCATCAGGGCTACAAAAGTACAGTAGTCAAAAGAAAACAGTTTTATTATTTTATCAAAAATAATGCAGTTCTTCTTAAGCAATACAACAGTGATGTATACTTGAAAATCAATGAATAACTGACAAAAATGTTTTTAATATCTTGGATTAGTTCGAATCAAATTTAAGAAGTGAATCAAAATAATTTAAACGACAAACTAATGGAGAAATCTGGAATGTGAACTTGATCAACTTCTCTATTTAGTAAGTGACTTTTTTTATTCCTTATTTTGCATTTCATTTTTTCAAGATCGTCAGAGGAGGGCGGAAAAAAAATAAAAATAAAATTTTATTGGTGAATTTAAACAGTGTAGTAATGGGATGGTTAAATGCTTAAATTTATATAGTTATAGAGAAATACATTTTATATTTGGAGATTTGAAGGCAGTGGCAGGCATAATAATAATAATGAAAAACTATTAAAATTATTTACGAAATTTTCAATTTTTTGTGGCAGCGGATGTGCTAATTGTCCAAAAATAAAATTTTATTTTTATTTGAAATCATAATTATTGGCAGGCGGTGGGTTCGCTAAACAAGGTAAAAAAAACATCACTTAATACAAACAATACTACTAACGATAAAATCAATGATAATAAACAATTATGTAGAAATAAAAGGAAATACAGTTCCTAATATCATTATTTCTTTTATATATTTCTTATGAAATAGAAACAACATAAAATTAACAAATCAAACAAAATCAAATTTCACTTAATACTGCAATCTTATAAACAAAATGAAGTTCAACAAAACATATATTTGTACATGTAAATATAAAGATAGTACAATTAAAATAATATTAATTTACATGAAATTTAATAAATATTGTTTAACATGAGAAAAATATTTTTTAACACAATAGAAACAAAGAATATACACTGTAAAAAAACTGTCAATCATCAAATTACCAATGTTATATAATTATACAATTTAAAAATAGTCCTACATATACAGTATTAATTTATAGATATATTATACAAATTATTTTAACAAAAAAGTAATAAAAATTGCAGATAAAAAACATCAAAACCAAAAGTTCAATGTAAATTGGCAATAACAAGCATAAAACCGAAAAACATTGTACAGAATTAACAAATATCAAGGTGTAGTCAAGCAATAAAAAGAAACTTACGAAAAGTCACCGTCAGAGTATTTATCGAAGGGGAGGAGAATGAGCGTTGCCAACGCCATCAACGGCTTAATGATACAGAACTGAAGGGTGGCTTGCTTACAGAACCGCAGGAACGTTATGGTATATGCTTTACCTTGCAGACAACACGTGCACCAGTACCACTTAGCTGGCCTGCAAGACACAATAGAATATAAAATGAATATTAATGTATTCAACTACCAAAAAAAATGTGACAATTATTTATTTTTCTGTTTAACCATGCAAAAAATAAATGTATTGGTGTAAATTTTGTTTAATCCTAGCAAAAAAATGAAAGTGTGAGAAAAATAAAGAAAGAAAGGTAAAGCGAGTGTAGTTAGAATGGTATGAAGAGCAAAGAGAAAAAAGAGATATAGAGAAGGAGAGGAAAGGAGAAATAAAGAGAGAAAAGAGTTGGAAGGAAAGATAATTTGAGGAAAGTGAAGATATAGATAGGACAGTGAAACAAAGGAAAGCTCTGTCTCTTTACAGCTTCATCATCTCAATTTGTCACTACGTAAACAACCGCATTCAACCTCAATCAAGTAAGTGCGTACATTCAACCTGTGGTGTTATTTTCTGCTTCATTAATGCAAACACCTGTGAGGACCTCCTCGAGCCATTTATGCGCTCTTAAATGTAATCTTTTCCTCGAGCAATTCATGCCTTATTATGTATCGTCAAACATTGTTTTAATTGCAATTGAGAACCAGTTTTTCTGCACTCAAAAACTCTGTGAACTCATCATGGTAGAATGCAGAAATACACAAATTACAGATTTTAAAAACAAGTTCTCGTAATCTCGAAAGCTCTGATTAGGGCAAGAGCTAAAAAAGATCTATTAATCAATCAACTATTGATTAATCAGCCACGTGTGTTTCTAGAGCTCCTCATGCGGGCAGTATAATAG